AGTAAACAAAACAATCCAAGGTTCCAAACTGTCAGTTCTGTCTTTGGTGAGCATATGGTTTATTGCCACACAGCCTCTCTGATCCACACTTCCAGTCTCAGATCCTGTTATGGGATCTGGCTTCAACTGATGATGTAATCCCTCTAGTGGGAGAAGGAGCCGCGTATGTCAAGTTGAGACCTACCCTTAGCCTCTCTCCAATTGTGTGGTTGTTTAGAGCTTCTTGGCCGTCTTCTTGATAAGATAAAGTGTGGGAAGTCTCCAACTTTGCTGTTTGAGGGAAGGAGTAACTTCCTCTACCCTTCCATTTCCTGTCTAACCCCAGGCCATGAGTGACTCATCCTCTTAGCTACCCCCATTTCAGTATGAGTGTGGCTCTCTGCTACTGATGAAATTCCCTTCTAATTTTACTTAGACCCAGTTAGGCAGTTTGGTCTGGTGCCATGGGACTGAGGTGGATTATAACAGTGTTCAGCAGTGTTTGCCACTTGGACCTGCAAAATCTTCTGTGTGAATTAGTTATCCACTGTGGCTATTGCTGTGGACATTCATCTGTTTTTCTCTCCTGTAGCTGCTGGTCCATTGTGTTGAGCAAGTGTGACATTCTTAGGCAATGGCTACTGTAGTGTTTTGTAGTGAGCCAAAGGGCTCAACTACAGGTCAGCACTGCCCTTTCCCCAAACCAAATTTGCAGTTTGCTGTGTAGTTTTACTGTTCCACCTATGTGTCCCCATGTGGGGATATTGCCAGGAGATAAAGGAGGAGAAAAACGAAAAAGAAAAGAAACTACAAAGAATCCAAGTCTTCCATCTCATCACTGTGGCTGACTCCTTATAAATTTTGTATCCCAGGTATTTCTCTTGCTTCATTTTTCCCAATCCCTGGATAGAATCACATTCAGAAAATGGGGATTATATTTGCCTCTCAGACTGTTTAGTGACGAAGGCCTGTGTCACTGGGGAAGTTTATAAGAGAAGATTAAGGTACAGTAGGAAAAAGATATACATGTTCAGTTATGAATGCAAATCTTTGCTGATAAGGATGATAATATCCTTGAAAAACATAAAGAATCTAATTTCATTCACAGCTTTACAGTAATGTTAACAAAGGAAAGTTCCACTTAGAAAGATATATAGCAATAGTATATATAGATATAGTATATAGTATATATATATAGTAGATAGTATATATATACTATATATATATAGTTCTATTTAAGTTATATGTAGATTAGGTTTTCACTCAACTTACCATTAAGACCTTGGTAAATCTAGAATGAAGATGTTCTTGTTTTTAAGCTAAGTCTTTTCAATATTAAGGACATGTGCTTTTTAAAATTAAAAATATAGAAGACAAGACTGACTTACTTTGAGACAAAACACATTGTTACTTTGATTAGTTGTTTTGAACAAGACATCAGAATCTGCTCTATGTTGAACATGGAATCTCAATTATCTTGTTTTTTATATTAGAAGAGACTAGAATATGTTATTTCTCAATAACTCTGGAATAATTTTATGCCTTAGTCTGAAAAATTCAGAAATTTAAAATTAAGTGGATGATCCAGCAATTTGGGGTTTTATTTTTGGAATGGAATTAAATATTTAAATAATGTACAGCTTTAGGTATACACTAAGCCGTATTTTTTTCCATTGAAATCTCATGAGTGAAGAAATTTACTAGAGTATTCCTTGCAGGTTTTATTGATGATAGTTTATTGAAAGCAGTATAAAAGAGAAGTGATGTTTAAAATGTTCATATTTAAATATCATTTTAAATAAGCATTTTGTCATTTATTATAACAACTCTTGCTAGTGTGTACAAACCAGAAAAATCCATAATGCATTCTGTAATTTTATTCATTCATACTTGTTTGATATACTCTAGGTATTTGGAGGTCACTAACTATATTAAAATAAAAATCTCTGTCACCAGGCAAGATGCAGTGTCTCACTCCTGTAATCCTAGTAACTTGGAAGATAGAGAAGAGGGAGATTGTAGGTCGAGGGTAGCCCAGACAAAGTATTTGTGACATTCTCATTTCAACCAATAAAAAACTTGAGCATTGTGGCACTTGCCTGACATCCCAACTATATCGGAAGTACAAATAGGAGAATTGTGGCACATGCTGGCCTAGACATAACTGTAAGATCCTATTCAGAAAAATAGCAGAAAGCAGAAAAAAAGCAGAAAGGACTGACTGTAATTCAAGTGATAAAGCTTCTTCCTGCACAAGTACAAGTTCAAGACTCTGAAACAAACTCTAGTACCAAGGAGTTAAAAAAAAGTCCATATTACCATTTAGCTCACTGGTTAGTAGAAGAAGAAGATAGTAGCATTTAAAATAATATGTAGATTAGATTTTTCAGTCAATTTACCATTGAGAACCTTGCTAAATCTAGAATGAAAAAAATACTTGTCTGTAAGCAAAGAAGGAATCCTTTGGAAATTAGTAAAATATATAGCTGATACAGTTTTTGTCAGTTTCCTGAAAAAAAGGATAGGAGTGATCTTGCTGGTAAATTGTGAAAATCATTTGATATTTGAAGGAGTAGGGGAAATGACAGGAGAAAGAACAGGTAAACAAAATGGAAGAGTATGGAAGAAGGGTAGAGCTAATTATAAACCAGAAAATGGAGATTAGAAATAGGAGTACAAGAAGCAAAAGAAACTAGTAGGATATTAAATTATATTCACTTGGCCCTCGGTCTTCATGGGTTCTGCATCTATGGATTCAACAAAACACTGCTCAGAATATTCTGAGGATCTTTCTGATGGAGGCATAGAATTTCATTGCATATATATATATATATATGTATATATATATATATATATATCACATTTTCTTGATCCATTCATCTACTAAGGGGCATCTGGGTTGGTTCCATATCTTAGCTATGGTAAATAATGCTGTGATAAACATAGCTGTGCTGGTAGCTTTAGTATGGCCTTGTTTGTGATCGTTTGGGTAAATGCCCAAAAGTGGGATTGCTGGGTCATAGGGGAGTTCTATGTGGAGTCTTTTGAGGAACCTCCATACTGCTTTCTTCCTCGGAAAGAATGACCCCATTTGTTAGGAAATGGAAAGACTTGGAAAAAATTATATTAACTGAAGCAAGCCAGGCCCAAAGAAACATAGGTCCCACGGTTTCCCTTATTTGCAATAACTAGTATATGTCTGGGACAAGTAGAAAAGGTCAAAAGCTATGTACATATGACCAGATAAGATGAAGTTAAGCAAAATGAACCCCAAGATAGGGACACAAGTGGTTTTTTCTTTCTTGCTATTGTTTCTATTTATTTGTATTGTATTTATAAGGTACCATGTGATTTTTTTTGTTGCTTTTTATGTTCCTCCCCTACAGTATAACCTTTATTTTCACTGTATTTGATGTTGGTATAATTTGGGGAGGGGAAGGGAAAAAACAAAATGTTTAAATAGGGATACAGACTGATGCATTATAACAATGAGATGCAATGAGGAGGCAACAATGCTTGATAAGAAATGTACTCGTTACCTTGCTCATGTAACTGTAACCCCTCTGTACAGTATTTTCACAATAAAATACTTATTAGAAATGTTCTGAGACTCATGGTTCAAAGCCAGCCATATCAGGAAAAGTCTGTACATCTCTTATCTCAAGTTTACCATCAAAAAGCCAGACTGGGGTTGTGGCTCACGTGGTAGAGTGCCATCCTTTAGTGGAAAAGAAAATGTACAGCATCCAGGTCCTGAGTTAAAGCATTTGTGGCAATACACACACACACAAAATCTGCATTTGTATTGCACTCACAGTCTTGAATTTTTGTTCTTAGTCCCTAAACTATGCAGTATAACAGTGTTTACATAGCATTTATATTGCATTTGGTATTAAGAGGGATCTACTGATTATTTTAAATATACAGGATTATATATATACTCTGCAATTTTTTCCTTTTCTTTTTTGTCTGTTGTGGGGCTTGAACTCTGGGCCTGGGCACTGTCCCCCAGCTCTTCAGCTCAAGGCTAGTGTTCTACCATTTGAGCCATAGTGCCACTTCCAGCTTTTTCTGCTTATGTGGTGCTGAGGAATCGAACCCAGGGCCTCATGCATGCAAGGCAAGCGCTCTACCACCCAGCCTGCACTGTGCAATTTTCTGTAAGTTAATTAGGCATCTGCAGGTTCCTGAGACCAGTACCTCCTGGGTCTTTAGTGACATCAGTGATAAAGAAGATAGAATTATCAAGAGACCTATTAGAAGTAATAGTTTCAAGAATTGAGAGGGAACAGCCAATTTAGGGACCATATATTGGCATACTAATCGGGGGAAATAAAGATTGTTTTTTTTTTTCTGGGCCAATCTTTCAAAAACCTTTGGACTTTGAAGAAGAATTTACTTAGTACTTAATTCTTAGATTGCAAAAGCATTTTAGCAAGTTAGTCCTTTGCTTTTCTGAGGTGCTGTAAACTTGAAGGAGGAATACGGGGGGTAGAAGGTGAAATATGTTATACCTTGGGACAGTGGTAGAACAGAAGGGGAGAGAGTAGTAGAACAAAAGGGGACATAGTAAGAAGGGAGTAGACAAGTCAATGTAGTATTTTCATTTATTTATTTATTTGTTTATTGTGCTGGTCCTAGGGCTTCAACTCAGGGCTTGGACGCTGTCCTGGAGCTTTTGTGCTTAAGGTTAGTAGTGTTCTATTACTTTGATCCATAGTGCAATTTCCAGCTTCTTGGTGGTTAATTGGAGTTAACTTTCCTGCCTGGGCTTGCATTGAACTGTGATCCTCAGATCTCAGCCTCCTTAGTAGCTAGAATGGCAGGCATGAGCTTGTCATGAGCCTATATTATTACTTTTAATTTGGAGAATGGTAAAAGTGTCACAATTAATTTTGAGTAATAGCCTCAACACTACAATTCATATGTAAATTTTCCCCCCTCTCATTTCTTTAGTGAATAGTTCTGACCTCTTGAATTTCTTTCTTGCAGCTCAGTTCTTTTGGCTAGACTTACGATCATTCCTGTGAGACTTTTGTGCACATTTTCTCAAGTATCTTCCTCATTCCTAATGTGTAATACCTCAACGTGGACCTGCTACTTTAGATAAGAAATGACCAGCAATGAATAGTAGTAAGGTAGGATTACTTTACTGTTCTTAGTAAATTATGAAAATCTCTTTTTTTGTGTGTGTCTGAAATTGTATGACAGTAGATTGTTTTGCATTGGTCCAAGTTTAGCATTTTACGTTTATGTTAATTATTTTTTGCTGTCATTTATCTCAGTGAGTTTTACCTTATTTGTGATACGATTATTACTTTGTCAACTAATAATCAACAGCATCCCAATGTATATTACTTTTTCATCCTTTCTGTTCAAATTCAGATGTCAAACTTTTCTTCTTGAACATTCATTCTTTCTTCTGGTTTCTCATTTGTGTATTTCTAGAGAGATCCTGAAGTCATATGAAATTCAGCTCATAGTTAAATGTCATATAAAATTTAAATATCAAAAAAGTAAAATAATTATTAAGCAGTACATATTAAAATTTATCATATGCTATTTATTTCCAGCATTAATATTATTTATAATTATATCCCTTTGGATATAATTTTAATTATATCCCTTTTGGAAAAATAACTAATCCTATGAGAGGTTTTTAAAAGGTTTCTGAACTTCATACTAGCATCCAACAGTTGCTCAGCTGCCCCCAAATCCTGAAGTCATTTGCAACACAGAAGGCCCATGGATTCTGTTACAAAAAAAGGAATGGATTTCTAAACAACCTTTTTCTCCTTTGTTCTGGAACCTTCTTTAGTTTCTCATTGTCTTACTTCAACTTATTAAAAATCAGCTTTCAGCAGGTGCCGGTGGCTCACACCTGTAATCCTAGCTACTCAGGAGGCTGAGATCTGAGGATCACAGTTAAAAGCCAGCCTGGCCAGGAAAGTCCGTGAGACTTTTATATCCAAAAAAACCACTAGAAAGCCAGAAGTGATGCTGTGGCTCAAGTGGTAGAGCACTTGCCTTGAGTGGAAGAGTGCAGGGACAGCGCCCAGGCCCAGAGTTCAAGCCTCACTACCTACCAAAAAATAAAATAAAATAAATCAGCTTTCACTTTTGTTCTAGTACATTTCTCCTGAATTGCAGCCAAGATACTCTCATTTGTAGTAAACCTAAATTTAGTAAATTCTGAAGGCTGGGAAATCCTGGCTCAAGGTGCCAGTAGGTTTGGTGTTCCTGTGGATGGAAGCAGGAAGGAAGCTCCTTTCACACTAGTATAATCTTCATCCAGCTGTGTGGAGCCCCCTGGTGTAAGCGGAAGGATTCTAACTCGTACCATATTGCCTTGGTAGTTAAGTTTCAACATTGATTTTTTTTTTTTTTTTTGGGTCAGTCACGGGGCTTGAACTCTGGGCCTGGGCGCTGTCCCTCAGCTCTTCAGCTCAAGGCGAGCGTTCTACCACTTGAGCCACAGTGCCACTTCCAGTTTTCTGGTGGTTAACTGGACATAAGAGTCTCACAGACTTTCCTGCTTGGGCTAGCTTTGAACAGTGATCCTCAGATCTCAGCCTTCTGAGTAGCTAGGATTGCAGGCGTGAGCCATCAACGCCCAGTTTCAGCGTTGAGTTTTGAACCATATATACAGTTAATCCAGCATGATGTTTAAAGTAGTGGTCTATCTGCAGGTTGTCCAGTTGTCCCTAACTTTCTGAGTTTTTGGATACAGAATTTAATCAGATTTCATGCAGTGCATTTGGTTCTTATGTCTTTTGCCCTCTTCTGTTCTCAGATAGTCCCTTGCTGTACTTCTTTATTGTTGCTTCACTTCTTTGTTGTTACCAATCTGTTTTCTCTTTTAAGACATAGTATTTGCATATTCTGTGTGTGTGTGTGTGTGTGTGTGTGTGTGTGTAGTACTGGGGTTTGAAGTGATGGCTTTGTGATTACTAGGAGGGTACTACCACTGTAGCCATACCCCCTTTTTTGCTTCAGTTATTATTTTGGTCTGGGGCTGGTCCTGGACTTTGATTTTTCTATTTATATTTCCCATGCATAGCTGGGATTGTAGATGTGCTATGTTGAGGTGGGAGCTCCCCATCTTTTTTCTAGGGCTGAATTCAAACCATGATTCAGTTCTCCTCCCAAGTAAATGAGAGATTGCAGGTATGAGCTTTCAAATTTAATGTCTCTTGGGAATTGCAAATGTTGTTTACATATATACATATAATCCATATATGTATATATATAGCATATACATATATAATATACATATACATATAATTGAAAGCTTGCAGTTTTCTTTTCCTTTCAATTCTCTGATGTTGGCAGAGGTAGGATTGTCATTTTTATGGCTTGGCCTTTTTTTTTTCCCTCCCCCCCTCCATCTCTTTCTCCCTTTGTGTGTTTGTGTTTTGGGCCCTGCATTTTTGCTATGCTTTCTTGCTCACAGCTGGCACTCTGCTGCTTTTGCCTTGCCTCCATTAGGGTATTTTGCCAGTCAATTGGAGATGGAGTCTCACATACTTTTCTGCCTGGACTGGCTTTGGACTATAATCTTCAAGTTCTCAACCTCCTGAGTATCTAGGATTACAGGTGTAAGACAGTCTTGACAGTTTTTTTTTTCTTTACGAAAAATCATTTCAACTTTGAAGTCATTGAGTTTTGTTTCATTTGGTGACTTTAAATATAAACAAAAGATTTATACTGTATTTGATTCATTGGTAATAATGAGCATTTGAAATTCAAATTAAAAAGAGAAGTGTACAGAGATCTCGCGTATTGCCATCTGCACTTTCTAAACCAGTGGTTAATCTATGAATACATATCTAGTTGCTATTAATATTCTAAATCAGTCTAAGTCTGTGTCTTTGAAAACACATAAGGAATAAATTGAGGTGTAGATGATATATTAGAAAGTTATTACATACACTCAAGAGCTTGGCACATTTAGGCAAAATTTAAATACTTTCTCAGGCTGGGAAGGTGGCTCAGTGGTAGAGCACTTGCCTTGCATGCCTGAGGCCCTGGGTTCGATTCCTTAGCACCACATAAGCAAAAAGAAAAAAGCCAGAAGTGGCGCTGTGACTCAAGTGGTAGAGCACTAGCCTTGAGCTGAAGAGCTGAGGGACAGCGCCCAGAGTTTAGGCCCCACGACCAGACCCCCCCCCAAAAAAAAATTAAGTACTTTCTGTCTTTGGTACTTTTGTTGAGCTGTCTGTGATTGAGGATTCTCCTTTTGTCCTTATTTTTCTTTTGAGTTTTACAGATTTCTTTAAGAATAAGATAATATTTATGAGTTAATGTTCTTTTTTTTGGTGAAGTTGGAGCCTAGCTTCAAAGCTGTACTTTTGAAGATGGGAGAATCACATTTTGACTGAGAGGCAGGGAGGTCACTTTTTCTCTCCTTTGCCGTAACGGGGTTCAGGTTATACTTCTCATGTGCTTTCACTACCTTCTTTTCATGGGGATTCCTTCTACCAGTTGTCATTGTGTATTAGAATTGCCTCTTCTCTAATCAACATCCCGGTTAGAACTCTCTGTGTGTGTGTGTTGTTGGGGATTGAACACAGGATTTTGTGCATGTTCAGCAAGTGCTTTAACACTGAGTTACCTGTCTAGCCTCAAGACTAGTACTTTTTCTCCCTCTGTTTTCATGATCTCATTTGGTACTTAGTATTTTTTAGACTTTAAGACAGTACTTACCCAGTGAATAAATACAGGCACAAAATGTTTTATGAAGATAGAATGCATGCAAAGATACAAAATGCTTTGTTGAGCATGTATAGTATGGACTTTTTTTTGTTTTTGGTTGGTGGTCAGGCTTGTACTCAGAGCCTGGGTGTTGTACCTGAGCCCTTTTGCTCTACTACTTTGAACCACAGCGCCACTTCCATTTTCTAGTGATTTAATTGGACATAAAAGTGTCATGGAGTCTACTGCTGAGGCTAGTTGCAAGCTACAATTCTCAGATCTCAGCCTCCTGAGTAAGGAGGATTACAGGGCTGAGTCACTAGTGCCTGACAATATGGTTGTTTTTGATGTTTGATTGATGTAAGACTGAGTTGCTCAATTAAAGCTCAGATTAGTTGGATCAGTGTAAAGAACAATAAAAAAATTCTTTCAGTGGAAATCATCTTTGTTTTCTGATTTTTTACATTTTTACCAGAGGGGAGGGGTTTTGGATTCTCGCTTCTTCCCCTGCTACTCTAAGAGCTTCCAAGTGAAGTGGAGAAGGAACCTGAACATGGAACAATAGGAAAAGAAAGGCAGGCACCTTCTCATGTATAAGTAGAGGACCCAGTGGAAAAGGTTGTTGCCTCATTCTGATAACTTTTCTCTGGATTTTACCCAATTTGAGGCTGCCAAATCAACTCTTTATGAACTGTTTAGAGAAAGGGACCTAGTGTAGAAAATTAAAAGTGAGAAACATCCAGCTTAGAAGGAGTTCTTAGAATTCTACATGCAATGGTTGCTGTAGGCTCTGTAAGGGCCCCATGCTTGTCATTAAGAAGCTAGGAAGGTCTAATTCTTAAAGGCCTGGAATCAGTGAAGTAATGACTGTTGGTCTCCTGCTCATGTGCTGTTTGGTCCCTTGAAATTTCTTGGGGCATCCTCAGAGTTAAACCCATAGCTATGAAGCCATTGAAATGCTGATGATTGAATTTTCTCACCTTTGTGTGTGTGTGTGGGGCTTATGGTGGATCTGAGTTTAAAGCGAACTAATCTCATTTCTCAGCATCTATGAGAACCTAGCTGAGCTTCCCTACTACTACACACCATTAACAGAGGGCTTCCCTACATCCCTGATGAATAGATGGTGGACAGTCGTACTTCTGCATTTTCTGGTCTTGTTTGGAGGATCTGTCATTTCCAATTTTGGCCTCTGGGGGCCATATGTGGAGTTAAAATTACTCAGCTCAAGCCAGAAATGTTCCATGGCAGGGTCAAAAATATCTATTAGGAGAACACAATGGAGAGACATCATCATATCAAGACATCATGATATAAATACTCCTAGCATTTTTTGTGACTTGAATGTATTTGAAGGAGAAATAATGTTTACTGTTAAACATTTACCAATTAGAAATCAACTTAGTTTTCAGAGACTTAAAAATGTGATTGTCCAGGTTTACTT